TCTTCCTCTGATGTGCAGGAGACGCAAACAGCTTGTGTCGTGAGCAGGAGCGTGCTGACGTGATTGTAGGAGGACCCCCCATGAGTCTCATTTCACCTATGAGTCACGTGCACCTTTTAACTTCAACGTCACTCCAGATCAAAATAACTTTCAATATCACGATTGCGCCTTGAATCGCTAATTGCATGCCGCTGATTTATTGTGTGAATCTGAAAAGCCTTTTGACTTATTCTCAAAGGAGCAGGTAATGAGTGTGACTTCATGGATCCCAAAGATCCTCAACATGTTGTCACACGATGGGAAATCAGGTTCTTTAGAGGCAGCTCCAGAGATAACATTTTCCACAAAGATAAAACCCCTGAAGAAGTGAGATGTTAGAAGGGTGCGTTCATTTAACATGCCACTGCTGCTTGAAATACATCATGTCCGTTTCAACACCCCATGTGTCTACTTTGAAGCAATTCATTTTCTCCTGGCATGCAGACTTGTTTCATTTCAGTCACATAAGTTCTTTTGCCATTCATTATTTCACAAGCTTACGTTTCACATCAAATGGTAAGTCTCCTTATTGATAGGTGCTCTGTCAAAAAACATGATTGCAAAGTGTGTGACTTGACTTTAACATAATTTCTCTCCAGCTCACAAACACAATGTTTTTTCTCCCTCTGCAGCACCAATAAAGTCCCTCAGGAGTGCAGGCTGCTGTTAAAGGTGCATTCGAACCAGAGATGACTCACTTGATCTGTCATTGTGGAATAAAGCTGAAGTCCCCGCAGAAAATAAAATGAACAGTGAAATGGCAGCTGCAACCTTTGCACTGTTTAAATACTTAACGTGATACACCCATTTTACTCAATTTATTTAAACCGTCATTTACAGGTTCTGTTCCGAAGTTAAACAACAGGCATTTTGAGTGTTGTAAAGGTATTAAAGCAAACATGGCAAGTCACATTTTCCAAAGCCATAGAGGAGTATGCTGTCTTTCAGCTGATGGTTAACTCTGTAAATGTGGACGACTGGATGGTTGTAATGTTGATTATCCTTTCTTTTACATCAGGTAGTCATCCTAACATTTAGGATTATGTCAGTAAATGCAGTTCTTTATGAATCATAATACACAGAAGTATTTGAGTGAGTCTCCTCCTAAGTTCTGTCTGCTGAGCTGAAAAACTAAATGATTTGGAACTATAAATATAATTCTGCCTTCTTATGAGAAAATATGTGCTGCAATGAATCTCATTTCTTTCTCGTTTCTTAACACTTGTCCCTTCCATCCTCCTGTTTTTCCTCTGCTATCATCTGATCTGTAGTCCTGCGCTGTGACGCAGACTGAGCGTCACATTTTCCTACGTGGAAATGGCATCAATCAGATGCCCTCACTTAGAGTCGTGGCGTCATCAGGGTGGATCTAAGTCTAGTTGTCCGTAAACATCAGTTCTCACTTCACCTGCTGCCCTTTCCCTGTGTGCAAAACCTCACTTTAATAACCCTTCACTGACTCTTGATGATTTCCAGTTCCTCAGACTGTATGTGAGGTACTGAATCATCCTCTAATATATATAGGCTATATTTAATGTAAAGAAAATTACAATTATTAATTTAGCTAGTGTAAACTAATTTCTCCTTTTTTGAAATGATCACATTTTCCTTTTACGCCTCTCTTAATGACATGAAGACCAACAATCATGTGCTTCCAATGAGTCAGAGGGGAAAGGCACTGTCTTATCTCACTTGTAAAAGGTGCAGGTGGAGTAAAGATCATATTCAAAACTAACCAATGACTCGGCAAAAATCCCCAAAGAGCTATTAGGAGAAACAGTAATTAACTACATAATGATAAACATAATGATTATTTTTTGTACATCCTTACCTAAATGTTTAATACAACTTTCATGCCAGGATATATAATCTAATGTAAAAGTGGTTACAGTCAAATGTTCTGTGCTGCTTTTTCTGTCCTGTGTTTTTATTGAAGGGAACTGATCATGTTAAGCAATAACTTTTCATTAGTTAAACCAGTCCTGCATATGGAGCTGTTACTTGTGAAATATATCAATCAATCAATCAATGTTTATTTATATAGCCCAATATCACAAATGTTACATTTGTCTCAGTGGACTTCACAGTTTGTACAGAATATCAGTATGACAATACGACACCCTCTGTCCTTAGACCCTCACATCGTACAAGGAAAAACTTCCGGAGAAAACCCACAGTTTAAAGGGAACATGGGAGAAACCTCAGGGAGAGCAACAGAGGAGGGATCCCTCTCCCAGGATGGATAGACGTGCAATAGATGCCGTGTGTAAATATAAATATAATGTTCATCTCCATAGATTAGAAAACCTCGTCACACAGGGATAGTCATATTTATTCTGAGAAATATAGGCAGCACATCTAAGCTTCTATTTTTATTGAAGACGACCTAAGGACATCAGAGGTGTGCGGTTTTAACCCGGAATCCGTTACTCAAAAGTCACCACACCTGTTTTTTCGCCTCTTGCGTCACGATTCTGCTTGCTTCCTTTTTTTAAATAATTTCTATAAATGATGATTTATGGTGCATCTAAATATCATTAAGTGACTGCAAAATCGGCGGAGCTGTGTTTCTGTGCTGATTTTCGATCATCTCCTTATTAGAATTGAAGCTCTTACATTTAGACAAAATTAGCGCTGTGTATCAACCTTTAGCATCATGTTCCACTGCTTATATTCTGATGAGCCTCTGATCAATATGTTAGTGACACCGTCATGCTGGGCGGGTGGAGGGGCAGACAGGTGGAGGGCTGTCTCACCAAAGCTCTTTCCGTTTTTAGAGAGTTATACCTTTCACAAACCTCCTCAGCTCTAATTGAACACTGTGTTTCCTTGGATCGTCTTTAATTTAGTAATAATGACGCTAAATTAGCAGACTCGTGCCCTCATGCGCGCGACGAAGCTGCTTCGCGCGAGCCCCGCAGTGCCGCATAGCGGAACCAGCGAAGAAGAAGAATGGAGGTTTTGACAGTCGTTGTGCTTAACAGAGTCTACTTAAAGCAAACATTGGAGCGACAATGTGTTAAGCTCGTTTATTAATGCGATATTTCATCGCCGGTTTTCACTCATTGCCTTATAAGGAAAGACCGTCGTGCCTTTCTGCAATAGGCCGAGTGCGGAGCCTGCGGGAACTCTGCTCCTTAACCCTTTCACTGCTGAATTGTATTAGCTCCAAGCCTATGAAACAATGTAAGGAGGGATTTAAATATATATTATTTTTTTTAACCAATGCATCGAAACTGAATCCTTGCAGTAGGCCTAGATATAAGTAGGCCTATCATGAATATATATATATATATAAATACATAAATATATCAGCCAATAGCCGTAATAAACTGGAATGTCTATGAGATGGCTGTAACCCTGTCTTTGTCGAGCTATACCTTCACTGTAATCTTCATTTAGGTATAACCCTACTCTGCCCCCTGATGTGGAGCCTTATTTACAGAGGTCTGTGTGTCCCTTCACCGCCAGGCCTAAACGGCTTCACACCGTGAGTAATGTCTGCCCCTCTCCGTGCCACTAACAGAGAGACGGCTGGTTTCCGTCCGCTCGGGGCTCCGCGCTCACATTAACCCGCTGGAGTGAGAGCCGGCGGGCAGGGGATGCTGAGCTACATCGACTGCCTGCCACACAACCAGGGGCTCTCGTTTTACTTCGCTAACATCCCCCAGAAAATCCCCGCGACACGGGGCCCTCTGAAATGTCCTCTCTTTGTGTGACCTTGACTCAGAGCTCTATTCATTGTAATTCACAGCGGCCCGCAATTTGACTTACACTTGCAATGATTCACGGTGTATTATCTTCCTACAGGGGGGGGGGCAGTCCCACACTACAGCAGCTTCTGATGGGAATGTGTGTTTCCCTGTGACACTAGGAATCCCGTGATAGAGGAGGCCTTGTTATGGCGGCGCTGTGTATGCTGTGGCCTTGACTTTGGTGTGGCCTATTCTGTGTTTCCATGCGGAATAACTCGTTAGTGGTATTGATTTTCTCACTATCAAACGAACCCAACTCTATCATGGGCCCGGCTCATAAATAGGCCTACATGTTTAGCTATAGAAGGCACACAGGTTGTAACCTACCTATCCCAAACGAGCCCATACTGGGCAGAGAATATAAATATAAAAAGCAGAAGGCCTTAACAAGCTGTACATTGAGAGGGGCAGCACATGGAGACCGGCACGGTTCAGGACGGAACGCTGTTTTCTTTCAGAGCTCGCTCTTGGAGCTAGACCTCGATTTACATCCAGCCTCACAAGAGGCAGACATGTGGCGTTCACGATCTCATCTCAGCTCGTACTTACGAGAACCAAGTTCATTTTTGGCATATCTGTTTGCCTTGGTTGAACATTGGAAATACAATTATGTAGGATTAATATCTGTGTGCGGATTCCTGTGCCAAGAAGTATATGTTTAAACATACACACCTTTTATTCCCTTCACACATTCACACAATTTCTCAGGCGAAGAGGGAACCCCAGGTTAAATCAGCCGTTGCAAAAATCTTTAAATTATTTTATGTTACAAGTCTAAAACCTGTGATAGAGGAAATATTGCCTGTAACTATTTTTGTTTTCTTGTGTTATTTTTGCTAGACAAGTGCTAGGCTACGACACCATAGTATGCAGAGTACTTTAATGTAGGCCTATGCCCTGTTAAGCTTCAGATCAACATGAATGTCTCAATCATGCAGATTCTGAATAACAGCCAAATAAGGAGTTAATATAGCCTACATAGAATGGGACCATATCTTAGTCTACTAAGCTGAAATGATCTGCTATTCAGTCTGGTAGGTTAAATCCAGTTGTTTCCATGGTTTCCATAGCCCTCACCTTAGTGTTTTTATGGAAAAATCAGTTATTCTACAATTGTACATATTGTTCAAAATGCAACCAAAATCGTGATTACACTTTCCCCAACAGCCCCTGAAAGCCGCACGGCAACTAACCCCGCCCCTATTATCGCCCCCTTGTTTGACGTCACACCAACGGCTATTTGCATGCATGAGGTGTTTTCTAGCTGCAGCTTCAAGTCGCCTCCTGCAAAACGAGTCTCTCAGAGGGGAAAGCGAGGGAAGAGGCGCAGTGAAAATAAGGAGGAGGCGGGGGGTTCTTGTGTTTCACATCAGAGGAGAAGGACGGATAAACGTCCCGAAAGCGAGGATAAGGTGTCGGATAGCAGAGGGAATACACGGGAGCTACTCTTGTGTCGGAAAATGGAGCTACCCGCCGCTGGAGAGCACGTCTTTGCGGTGGAGAGCATCGAGAAGAAGCGCAGCAGAAAGGTTTGTCACGAGAGCTGAAGGACATATTTGCACACATGCACATGGAAAGGAGGATAATTAGCTTTGCTTTTCTTTCATCTTCATACGGACTACATTTTTTTTCATTAGCTTTTTGAAGGAGACGTTGCTGTGCAGAGTGCATTTTGCTGCGTAAAGTAACGTTGCGTTTCTCTACATTCACAGGGGAGATTTGAGTACCTGGTCAAGTGGCGAGGATGGTCTCCAAAGTAAGTCGTTTTTATAACCATTACAATACTCCCAATGATAACACAACATTTACAACACAAGTGTTATTGCATCCGTGGGCGCGCATATGGACGGCTGCGCGTTCTTGCTTTGGGCGCTGGATGTGTTGGCTCTGATGATGGATGTGTCTTTACAATGTATTCAATCCCCAGTGAATAATAACAATGTCTGTAATTGAACCCTATGTTTAAGAAATTCCCACATATTTACAGTTAAGTGGGGGCTGGGCCGTTGTCCCCCCTCCCTACAGCCGCGCGTAAAAGTTACTTACGATGTATTACACGTTCATCCACAGGGAGTGCACGTGTCTCAGAGTGTTGTTTACGCATGTATGCCTACAAATATGAACTGAGGATGTATTAGTCAAAGGTCGTTAAGTGATCTTCTATCTTCGGCCAAAGATCTGTTTTTGTGTGCCACTGTGTGACAGGCCAGCGTGTCCTAACTGTCTGCTCTCTGAATAGATACAACACGTGGGAACCAGAAGAAAACATCCTGGACCCAAGGCTGCTTGATGCTTTCCAAGACAGGTAGTTAAGAGTCAGATAAGCACCCTCACAGGAGGTTCACAATGTCATCATCACAAAAAGGGTTAAAGGCACACCCTTACATTTCCAGTTCTGCACCCAACAGATAAAAATATGTGTTCCTCATGTTGAAACTGTGAGTTTGTTATCTCAAACGTTGCTTCCTAGTTACTCCATCTGAATAATGTTGATAATAACTCGCTTTAGTAGAGCTGCAACGATTAGGTAGACATCAAAATCACAAACAATTTTGATAATGAATTGGTTAAAGTCACTTTTGCACCAACATTTCAGAAAATGCTCCTTTCAGCTTCAAATATTGAGAATGTAAGTGATTCTCTATTAAATATGTCAGTGAAGTCTAGTGGTTTTAGATTGAAAAAAATAGCAATTTAAAGAAATCACCTTGAACTTTGAGAAATGGGATTGACATTATATTCATATGGTCTGCCATTTTATAGACCAAACAATTAATGGATCATCCAAAAATGTACATAAAAGCAGTTGTAGGCTGCAGCCCTTTATTTTCACAAGTGTCAGTCAGTGTGCAGAAATTCAGCGGCTGGGGGCTTGGATTAGGATTAACACTGGTGTCATCAGGGGGTCAGGCTATGGTAAAGCTCCGGTCAGGGTTACCAGAGCAAAGTGTGACACTTGGGTGCACCGACTTTCTGTCACCTGATAGTCACTGCGTGTCCGCAGCATCAGGTTATCGTGCTGCCTGCTGTCCCACCACCCACTCACCAGATGCACCTGTGTCATCTTCCACAGGACATGGTAACCCATAACATTACCCAATAAGGCAATTCATTCCAAATATGCAGTATGATGAACTCACCAAAACTAACTGGCTATTTAAGAAAAACATTATGCCTTTAGACTCTACATTTTTACAGAGACATAAAAAACTACATTTTAATAATAATGTATGTCTGATGTTTTCCTTAGTTAAGTCAATTTTGTTTAATAGGAAACAACTTCTTCTCCCTCATTGAAACAATCCAGTAACTATATGTTGTTATTTTCAAAAGTTACTATGAGACACAGTATGTGTCCCTCCCTACTACTGTGTCCATTCTCAGTTGGTGCTGGAGGTTTCCAGTTTCTACATCACACTTTTGTAGGTAGCATAATTAGCTTCTTAACCATATGTGATGTCCTTACTGTAAAAGGGATAGTTTGAAAACCTACGATTTTGTCGTCTCATAAATTAGTTAATTTAATCCATGGATCTGGTAAACTGAGTTTCTCCTAAAAAATCGTGGTAATTAACCACTAGTTCAATCTTAGTTGACTAAAAGTATGACTGCTCGTCTGTCCTCAGATTTAAGGTGAGCACAGAAAAGCGTTCTCCCTTCAGCAGATTAAAGTGGAAACAGCCTTGTAATGTCAAACTCTGCTCACATATCATCCTACACACTGAAGGCCCAGCATCCAAGTGAAGCAGCTATCAGGAAATAATGTTTTCTAAATGGATGGGGACTTTCAATCTTTTCCTAATCTGCTCATGATGTGGTGGAAAGGCACGAGAAAATGAAGATTGAAGTGAGCAGCAGGAACTAAATAGCAGCTTAGTCTTGTTATAAATCATCATAGGAGTATGCGCCGCCTCAGTGTCCGGCCAGAGTAACTTCCTCATGTTCTCTATTAGTGTAGGAGATCAAAGCATGGAAATTAGCTGCTTGGCTAATTGCTAAATAGTCTGTTGAGTGACTGAAGAACAGTGTCTAATTGAATGTCTTTATTGTGTGCTAAACTGTCCCTGACTTTACTCTGCGCCCCCCACCCCCCTCACCTTTCAGGCGCAGGTCACACGTTAAAGCCAAACACTGATGTCATCCTGTCTGTTTTCGCAATTACCCCCTCTGTCTGAAGAGGGGAGATTTTATTGAAACTAATTGTGTTTCTCTCCGGGGAGCCGAATCGTCTGAATGCCAGGCTATGAAAATACACTGAGTCGTCATTGTAATTAGATGTGAGGGAGGGGGTGGGGGAGGGGACTGACATCACTCCTGTCTGCGGTATAGAGTTACTGCCTTGGAGAGACTAAAGAAAAGTTAGGGAAGTCAGAGCAGGGCTGGCCTTTATCTTCAGCTGCAGATACAAATGTCACATGCATCTAGAGGGGAGGAGAACCAATAGAAACATTGGGGACTTTCTGCTGTTGCATTCATCTGAAATAAAAGACAATGATTGTTGTGAAAAGGTTATGACATAACAACAAAACAAAGTCAACCCGTGCTGAATGAGTTTCGCTTCAGGAAGTGTAACTCCAACCTGTAACACAGGCTCAGTGTTTTTGTATTCGAGCCAGAGGAGGACACCTGTGATGTTTTGTTGCCATGCAACGGCGACACAGCTCGGCGATGGTTTCACTGATTGGCTGCTTTCCTCTCCCACAGGGAACGCCATGAGCAGCTGATGGGATATCGCAAGAGAGGACCCAAACCCAAGCACCTCCTGGTTCAGGTGAGAAAATTATGATATTTAATCCTTCTTTATAGTTACATGTATTCCTAAATTCAATTTTCATGCATAAGTCCCTCTTAAAATCACAAAGCTGTATAGATACAATTTCAGTTATAAATCAGATTTAAAGGGGCGATTAGAAGGTTTAATATTACACCAACATAAAGTGGGGAACTCACTAGATATGAGACTGTCATAATTGAAGTCCCAAGAACCCTGGTTCAAGCTGTGGACATGCTGGATTCTGCAAGCAATATTTTTAGACCACTGCCTCTCAAACTCAACCCCCTGTCTGTACTCCAGGCTTACTCTTATAGAGGTGTAGCTGAAATACCCGCTGACATCATCAGTGTTATTGTCTAAGACTTTAAAAGCTCTTCCAGCGCCACAGAACCCATTGAACAACATAGGCTAAGTGGATTAGCATGATGACATTATTCATTTGCCTTACATTTTACTTGTTTTATTAAGTTTCTTATTTGTGTTTCTTGTTACCTAGGATTTTCTTTTTGTTTATTATTGTGTTAACTCTGCTTTCTTGTAAATGAAGTCAAATCCTCAATGTATTTCTAAATAATAAGAAAAGTTAAAGTTGAGTTAAATAAAAAGTGCTCCTCCATCTTAGTTGTTGGGAGTGCAAACACAAATTGTGCATTTTGAGCATTAATCATCGGTCCAAAAGGCCGCGGGAACCCCTCAGAGGAGGGTTTGTGTTCCTCTCAGGAGGGTGTTGGTGGTTACACATGGGATGAAGTCAATGACAAAGCAGTCAGGGACATTCCTGAGAGCTGAGGTCACAGCCAGGGGAGTCACTATGAAATGTCACTGTGATGTGCTGGGCACAGGAGCTGTGGGGGGGGGCTGTGTGAACATGGACCCCGGCCCCTGAAATAAAGTGTGTGTCTCAGAAGAACCCCTCACACATTCCAACAGTGTTTCTACAGTGCCACTCAGGGGCCCCAGTGAACCGGGGCTCTTTGTTGTAGCCTGACACAGACACATAGACGCTGTTGTAGGCCCATTGCTGTAAATACTTCCATGTTATTGTGCTTTATTATTGACACACATCACTCTCTGGTTCCACAGGTTCCTTCTTTCGCCCGGAGATCCAGCATCCTGGCTGACCTCCATGAGGCATCCCTGGAGGAGGAGAGCTGTCTGAAGCCCAGCCCCATGCAGATGCTCCGTCCCCAGGGCCAGCAGTACCAGCTGAACAGCAAGAAGCACCACCCGTACCAGCCGCTGTGCCGGGAGCGCGACACCGAGCCGCCGGCGCACGGCAAGAAGTTCTTCTACCAGCTCAACAGCAAGAAGCACCACCACTACCAGCCGGACCTCAAGGGTCACGAGCCCATCTTTGCTAAACCCAGAGAGGTGAAGGCTCCGGAGCTGGTGAACAAAGGGTACAACCTTCCCCCGGTGCTGCAGCAGAAGTGGGTCCGGGACAAGGACTCAGGTTGTCTGACAAAAGTCAAGGATATCACCATGGAGCTGAAGAAGCTCCCAGCGGACCTCAACGGCCACAACGAGCCGGAGAAGGTCCAACCTAAAGAGGATGCTACACTAGCGCAGTCTAATGGAGGCAGCAACGGCAAGTTAAAGATCGTGAAGAACAAAAACAAGAACGGGCGGATTGTTATTGTCATGAGCAAGTACATGGAGAACGGAATGAAAGCGGCTAAGATTAAAAACGGCGGCTCTGACATTGCTGGAAAGCCACTGCAAGCAGCTGACAGCAGCACGGAGAACCACCTCGAGAAAATGAAGCTCGTCAGGAAGCTCGGCCTCATGAACGGATTTGCCAAAAACCCCAAAGACAAAACAACCTTTCCTAGTTCTGGATTTAAAGTGCATTGCCTCAAAGAAAAGCAACAGTCCCCCAAAACGGAGCCAACTGTGACGGAACAGGATAAACCTGTCAGGGTCAGGGGTCAGGGGCAGCTTTCAGAAGATCAGCCTTTACAACTGACAAGTTGTAAAGGCACAACCAAGCCTAATCTGCTCTCGCTGCCTTTGGATAGGGGAGTTCCCTCCCCACTGGACAAAAGAGGGAACCAAGGTGGATTTCAAGGACTGAAGCGACACCTCTCTGACCCAGACAGCGAGGATCATGGGAGTAGTAAGAGGTTTCTGAGCTGCAGGAGTATCAGCCCTCCTCACGCCACATCTCCACCCACCCAAAGCATCAGCACCAACCAAAACACACACCAGAGTCCCACTGGACTGCAGGACTGTGGGTACGCAGACCAGGAGGAACCTATCGACTTAAGTGTTGTCAAGTCCCGGCCTAAAGCTACGCAGCCTGAAACACAAACTGAAACTGTAACACAATCTGAAACACACACACAGGATGAAACAGACACACACACTGACGTACGGACAGAAACTGAAACACAGAAAACTACAGAGGAGGATAAAGTCAATTCATTGTCTGTGTGTAACCATGAGAAGAGAAAAGAGGAGACGTTTCCCTCTCTCCAGCCTTTCCTCGGGAATATAGTGATCACAGACATTACCACAAACTGCCTCACAGTCACCTTTAAGGAATACATTACAGCGTAACGGACCTGTGGAACTGGACATTTACATTCAAAATATTTGTATTCTCGGATGCTTGAATGTACAAACGGACCCTTGATGTTTTTCTCATTATGTATAGTTCCCATAAAGAAAAAATATCCTTTATTGCGTTTTTGCATATTTCTTCTTATAAGCTCTCTGTTGTTACTCCTGGAGATTTTTTATCACATACGTTACATAATTCAAAGCCAAATTAGGTCAAATAAATGTCTGAAATTGATTGAAGATGCTCTTATCCCTTGTAAATGCTCTTCACTTTTCTATGGATGTAATTTGATTATTCACTCAAACTGTCGGCATCTTTGACAATGCTAAACAAATGTAGGCTTTATGGAGTTTTGTAAAGAAAGATTATATTGAACCATGGTCAATTACACTGTGTGTGTGTGTGTGTGTGTGTGTGTGTGTGTGTGTGTGTGTGTGTGTGTGTGTGTGTGTGTGTGTGTGTGTGTGTGTGTGTGTGTGTGTGTGTGTGTGTGTGTGTGTGTGTGTGTGTGTGTGTGTGTGAGTGTGTGACAGATGGACCGACTGAAACAAGGATGCATGCTGTTGGACAGATTATGCTATTAGGCATGCTTAAACAAGCAGATCAGAAAAAACTAAGCACCTTGGCTTTCTGTCAGTAAATGTGATCTGCAGCTGAAAGAAAATGTCTTTCAAATGAGAGATAATAAATGGTTAATGTTTGATATACGCTCTTTTTCTATCTCTGTTCAAAGGGTTCTTTGAGTCATGAACCTCCAGATCTGATCCTGAGCACTAGTCACCTCCAGCCCTGAGACTTTATTTATGTAATGTTTAGCAGTGCAGTGAATAAGATGGCGTTGTACCATATCAGTCACACATCTGTGTTAACACTGTTAGTTGACATGTGTACTCCAATATATTACAACATCAGATGGGTGCTCTATGATTCACTTTCTCATGTTTCCGTTCTCGGCCTCCCTCACATGTTCTGAGGCGACACAGTATGGAACTGAATGGACCTGTCTTGGTGTCATATTTTACGTAACTTTTGCTACATTGCGCTAATTAAAAGTTTGTAAAAGCACACATTCTTGTCACAATCCTATCTGTTCCCTATACATGCCCCTTCTACTTTTGTTTCATTTTCGAAAATCCCTTCCAGCACTATGAGATCTGAGGTGCGTTGAACAGCTCTGTGAGAATGATTATCAGAAGCACTTTTTATGTTTTGTGCAGACAAAAAAATGAAGGCTTCCTATGATACATTTTGCAATAATAAAATTGTTTGCAAGTAAATGACGGACTTGTGTTTCTTGTTTTAGGCACATAGTCCTATATTAAGAACATGGTTATAAACCTTGACATGTGACCTTGGCCTCCTACCGAGAACTTGAGATTTTAACCAGAAAGGGCGGCTGCTACAATGCTCCTAAATGGCCATCCTTACCTCAGAAGATTCTAAATCTGTACATGGCTCTATTTGTGGCTGTGTGAGTGCAGGCTGCGGCAGCAAGGATTATTACAGAGCCTGAAGTGAGTTTATTTTCAGATGGGCTGCCCCGACCAGTATTTGCCTTGTGTGCATACTGTAGCGAGCGACAGGTCAGTTCACTGCTACTATGGTGACACCTTTACTTAGAAGTGGATAACAATTTTGATTGTGTTGTATGAATGCAACTGATACAGCAGCGTGGTCAAATGAACATTACATGTCAATGTGTACACATAGTTAGATGTGTGGTGTACAGGGGTTGAATGTAACTGTTTACTACTATTTTAAGTATTGTACACATTTTTTAGATACTTGTACTTGAGTACTTTCTTTAATGCCTCTTTTTAATACCCTACTACGTTTAACTGACATCATAAGTTGCATTTCACTTAATAAATAATAGAGACATTTGCACACAAAACATAACACATTTATACAAAATGATTTGTATTTTCATAAAACTACCCAACAATAGGCCTACAAGTAGTCTTAAAATGATTATATTAATAATGAATTGGTTGATTCACAGAACTATTTTTCGTTGCATTCATATGCAATGTATAGAAAAAAACAATTCCAACTTCAACTTGTAGGCCTACTTGATTATTTTCAAAGTGATATGAGTGCTTTACTTCAGTAAAGGATATTAATAGTTCTTCCATCCTCTAACTGAGAAAAAGTGAAAGATCTTGAGATGATTGGATTAGGATAATAATAGTTTGTAAATGCTGTTCATTAAACCAGACACCAACATATTGTTGTCCACTGTGAGCTGGGAATCGCTTTATGGTTTAACAAACACTTATATGAGGATTTCAGTAAAGCTCATAATTGTGACCTGGCAGCTGTTCATGCGTGATGTTACCTGAATAAACCCTCCTGACATGCTGAGCAGCACAGCAGGGGGCTGCGGATTGCCTTACTTGACCTACAGCTTAAATGACATAACGTGGGATATGATTTCCATTTTTCCTGCACGGTTTCACATGTCAGCCGCTCATATAATGAGGAAGACAGTTGCTGTTCCTCTCAATAACATCAAGGCGCATTCATGTAAGTAACACTGTTGCTGCACAAACCTACCGAAAGACTAGCATTTGAACGCAAACCCGTGTGTTAAAAGGGAGGAATAATTATTATTTGCCTTTCCGATTCTGTAAATATATAAAATGTCGAGTGAAATGGTCGAGTCAGCAACTCTCGACCATTTCCTGCAGAGCCCGCCAATAAACCTGCTCTCAGTGCGCGTGGATGTGAACAGCGAGAGAGAAAATGGCTGTCCTTTCTCTGCTGCATCCACCTCTTTCCTGTCGTCTCCGGTCGTGTGTCTAAACGCCTCGCAGCTGCAGCGAAACAGTAACTGTAGCAATGTTTAACCGGCGGTAAATTACCCCGCAGGATTTTAGACGACATTATTTATTCTAAGTATCACAAAACAGTTTTGTTTGCTCTTATTTAGGCAAAAACAACTGCCAAAATGCGAACAAGTTGATCAGGTTTATCCATAAATAAAACAAGAAGTGTATAAAATGGTGTAATAACACTTCCTGTCGGGGATCCACCCTCTTCCTTCTTCCTCTTATCTACCAGCTCTCTCTCACTGTGTGCATGGCCGTTAAATGAGGCCTAATATGCTCTCTGTCAGACCCTTACAGTTGGTGTGCTGGTCATTTAAAGTCACCCATATATTCAATGGATCTTAGAGAGGGCGGGCTTTTTTGAAAGGGACAAAATGTTAACTGTGCTCCTAACATGTATTCCACAGAGACTTATTCAGTAGGCCTGCACAGCCGTAAGGAAATAAAAGTGCACGCGCATTATGGAAACACATCTAAATCAAGTCACAACAGTTTAATAGGGGCGGGGGCTTGAATACAACATTTGCAACAAACACGATACTTTCAACATCCTGTTTTTAATTATGCAATGCAGTCGTTTTAAACTGCCAGGAACGGATCCCAGAACAGCCTTCAGGCCTACTCACGCTTACATGTAGCCTATGCCAAGTAGGCCTATTCTTATAGTGAACTTAACTCCTCTAAGAATGAATTCATTTTTTAAATAAATAAATCCAGCAAGGATCTGTATAGCACAAGCACCACATTGTATGTATTCATACAAATCCACCATTAACTGTGTAGGCCTTTATTGTCATAAGTTGTTGTAAAAGCCTGCATTTCCGTCAGCATCTGAAACGCACGTTTCACTGCCGGGATCAGTTTAATGACACACAAGTGAGTAACCCGCAATTCATCCAACATTGACTTTGTCCAGGATTCAATGAGAGTAAAGACGCAGGTGCTGTGTGTTTTCCAGATGTCACTATTTTACGTTTATTAGTGACGAAAAAGACGAAACAGATCAGTGCGCGTGCAGAACAGGTGTGCATTCTGTGTTCATTCTTCATGTTTGTTAAATAGGCTATTGTCTGTGCTTACGGGAAAGAATAGGCTACATCTGAAATCTATGTTTCTATTTGGCTAGGGGGATTCAAAAAAACAACCCCCGGTGTAAACGAACTGCATGCTCTGTCTGACATGAGACCCTAACTGAAGTCCGTATCACCTTTCCATCAGCTGCTTGTCATTTTTATATGCGCGTGGACCCTTAAAGTGGCAGGGACGGTTGCCATAGAAATTCATTTTGGGCTGTTCTCAGTTCATGATCGCTGAACTGAACCTGAACTGTTCGATAATCCTCCCACCTCTCTAACCTTTCCCCATCTTCCTCTCAATGAGCATGATGCAGATTGCCATGCTGTGTTCGGGCTCTCCGGGTATTTAGCACCGGAGGATCCGGCAGCAGCAGAGTCTTGCCCGGATACAAGCCAGCCAATGGTGTTGTGTCGGCGGCAGCACTGCTGCACTGCAGGCGCGCCGAAACCAATCGCATCCAGAGTGAGAGCTGCGCCCATTCCTCCGAGTCTGCGGAGGGCTGTTGGTGCTGAACAATCTGACAGGAAAACATAGAGAAAATCATGTCAAACACACGTGCTCCTTCACTGAGAAATACATGAGGTGGCATTGGCTCTGCTGGCCTAAACAGATTGTAATGTATTACCACTTCACATTAAATCTTCATAACCTTATAACATGTTTGCTAAGATGGCTTTAAAATAAGATATAGTGTATTATCCCAATGGGAACAACTATTATTGTGTAATGTTGCTAATCAACTTAAAGCAATAGCCACGTATAATACATTTTAAAGGAAAACAATACAAACGGTGCAGAGAAGAATTGTAATCTGGCATCGCCTCTCTGAGCTTTCCCAAAAAAAAGGGCAAATAGTCTTATTGTCTTCGTGGCCAACAGTTATTGTGCACGCATTACATTAACAAAGAGTGCTGAGCGTGCACACCTGAATATGTATCTCTCGTCCATTACTGTCTGCATGTCAATGGAGCATGGCTTTAGTTAGAGCTTCAGAAACTAGGAAGAAGAGGACTTTAATGAATACATTCTGCAACACTGGTATTCGTGACAAAAACAGTAATAAGAAAATGATGTGCAGTTGGCAGACGATCCAATCAGCGCTAATTGAATGCACGATACATTTTCTAATGAGAAGTGAATTTGATGTTAGTGAGTACACATCAGTGCCCCATGCCAGCATCTTTAAATAGGCCAGAGCTCTTGATCTTGATCTCTGGGATCATTGTATTGACAGTAATTCATGTGTTATATGCTATATGTTTATAAAGAGAGCCGTGGCTCAGAAACGTTCCCTCTCAGCCGTTTGGTTTTCTCGAAATCTGGTAAAAAAAACGCTCATTGACAGCTATCGTCTGACTGAAATATCCTTCTTTGAAATTACACATTTGATTGTTTCCTCATAATGCATTTTATTTTCATTCATCAAAAAATAACAAGCTATTTAAATGTAAAAGGCTACTTCGGTATGGAGGGACTGACTGAATGCCGCAGTGGCTACAATCCAGAGTCAATACGTTTTCCCTGCAGCAGATTTAATTTAAATAGCCACAGGTTTCAAATATTCTACCTTTAATATTGATTTCGATTTGTTGTGCATTCCTTTAAAGCTACGTGATAGGCTATCGATGAAATTCTGCAATAATCTCTGCTGTGAATTTGTTATTTATATCTAGATCGGCATTGGACATATCAAAAAAAGGTGGAACATGTTCTGATCCTCGCTCTGTTCTGAAGGGCAAAGTTAAAGTTTACTCAATAGTTATTCTACTCGTTTTTTAGTCGCTTATTAGTCCTTCCAAGAAATGAGGTTGGGAAGAAAATCCAAAGCACTGTGGTAAAATCAACTCTCATCAGGTCATAAATGCGTGCAGCATGAACAAGCTAGCCGATGTGTTCTTTTTGTTTTACTCTTTTAGATATTTTTGTGAAAAGTTAAAGGTTAGGGAATAACAGGGACAGCTATATATTTTTCAATCAGGTCAGACCAATATATGGTAATATCTAGTATTCAGATTTGTGTTTTATAAAGCCAAATTAATTTCGGACCATTTTATATAGGCTACATATTATATTGCCCCGTTCCTTCCTTTTTTATTATAAGTGATGTTCTTCTGTCGCCATAGCTATGGAATTATAAATCATTGTAATATCCTTTGTTCGTGATAATTGAATTAAATAATTAAATGTATTGTTTATTGTCTACCTTTTTTACACTTTGAAAAACGTTTTATTTAGGCCTACTTATACATTTCTTAGCATTCAAATAGGCTGCCTATCGGCCTGTGCATTATAGACTACGTGAGCAAGTACCAAGTTATTGTCACCCAGGGCACGACAGGCATAGGATTGTATTTCATTTAAAATCAACATTTTAGATTTTTAGACTTTTGCGTTAAATCCTTTTCTAGATTTAAAAATATATATTTTCTGGTACTCTGCGTGAGCTGCTGCATTAAAAACAGCAGGACTTGGAAGCGTGAACAGATTATTTGGGGATTCGAAGATAGGCTATTTATTGTTGTGTAATCTCATTAGCAGAAGATATTTTGAAGTGTGAAGGGTTTAGAAGGAATAGAAGAAAAATATGTATTGAAGAAAAGAAAGTGACTGCAGAGAGACGGGCAGGTAACAGTGGTCGGACCTTTGCCATAACGCAGATACAGATGAAAAGCTGGCCAGACATTAACATAGCCTATACATCAACTGATCTTTTCTTGCCTAATTATGTGTTATGAAATCATCTTTCGTTTTCCTAACACTTTATAAATGAAAGTCAGTAAACGTCTTGCGCAATAATGAGGGACATAAATCACAAGGACGGACATTTCATCCGATTTCCATTTGTAAAAGTAGCCTATAATTGAGCAGTGAGCACTAAATCTGTAAAACATGGATGAAGGCTCTTTGATATGAATGTGATCGAATGCACAATGCGGAGATATTTGAAAATGGCAAAGCGCCATTAAAAAGTTTAAACACGCTATGCCAGAAGACTGTGCAGGCAAACTCAAGCTACAGTAGGCCTACAGTGGGTTGTTAGATATAATAATATGAATACAAACATCCTATAATTTGCATTGATCCTATGCTCGGCCTGAGACAGCGAGAACAGACGAAATAAATGCGGGCAAGCGTAACACAGCCTGTGTGCTTAATGCTTAATATTCCTGCAGCTACTAAACGTCAAAATGTGAGTTTATTGCGTAAGCAAATAAATGCATAGCTACATAGAATGAACGCAAATGAAGAATGTCTCCGTCTCTCGTCGCATTCATCAAACGGCCCGGTTATTTCCTGGTTTCTCTATGTTTTTGACGATACTGTCGCGTGCATACAAACTACACAACGTTTGATACCACGTGCATTTTTGAATATCTCACATAACTTGCGCGAAATGATTCACTCGCCGTACGGGGGGGAAACAAGCCTCCATTTCCACCCCGAAAGAATTCACACAAGCACAAGCTCCTCCCCCTCACTTAGCAACCCGAGCACGTAGCAACGGCTGGACCAATGGGCGTTCTTCTTGAGGTTCCACCGACTGCGGTTCCTTAGCAACGCAGTAAAAAATTGCGCTGACGTCCATTCTGTAAGGGAGTATTATGGTCTGTCGGGAATTCAGAGTGGCTGGGACTGGAAAAAAATATCTGCTCTGCTAACGATAGCGTCCGCTGAGCTAACGGTAGGTAGCACTGGAGTAAACATGGAGCTGTCTGCTGTCGGGGAGAGGGTGTTCGCTGCCGAGTCTATCATCAAACGGAGGATAAGGAAGGTAGGCGCGAGATGTGACGTGCTCTTTTCTCCCACAGCGTTAAATATAATGCACCGCTATATATGTCTACTGTTGCTCTGCAAGCTAATGAACTAATTTGTGTTTGTTTCTGATGGCATGCAGGGTCGGATTGAATACCTTGTGAAATGGAAGGGTTGGTCTCCCAAGTAAGTTCTACATCTGCTTTCTGTGTTTACTGTCTCTAGTACTCTCTCTGTACTGTGTGAACTGCTGGACTGGCGCGGCTGTCGTTAGCTCGCCACAGCTAGCGAGACAGCCCCGGATTAAAACTGAGGAGTAGCGTTATAGCACGATGGAGATGTTTAGCTTGCAGGCTAACGCAATGGTCATCCCCACAGTGTGTCAGCGGTCGTTTCCTCATTTTAACTTCACGCACATTCTGTTCACAGATACAGCACGTGGGAACCGGAGGATAATATTCTGGACTCGCGCCTGTTTTTTGCTTTTGAAGAGAGGTAACGTTAAGATGTCTGGGCACACAGCCAGTGAATGTAGTCCGATAAATATACGGTGTCCTCGGTGCACTTTGCTCCCGTGACACTCAAAATGGGCGTCTGTCTCTTTATTTTCCACAGGGAGCGTGAAAGAGAGCTCTACGGGCCCAAAAAGAGAGGACCAAAACCCAAGACGTTCCTGCTCAAGGTAAACCCAGCAGGCTGTTTCGTTTCAGCCTCATTGCATGTCTCCTTAAGGCGAGAGGCTCATTAAAGATGGTAATGATGCATATTCAGCGTGTGTATTAGCTAATGGGAGGCTGTTGACATCTTACAACATGTATATTAGTTTAAAATTCCTGTTTGCAAGCTGCTGCCTTCTATACATTCTTAATCTCCAACTGTATGTGATTTTTACAAGACTAATAACGGTTATTAAATATAGATGCATAAAAGGTTACTGCCCTAAATTAGAATGAGATCGTCGAGTATAGCCTGGTGAAGTCAGCAAGAGTTTTCAGCTTTAAAGGAAAACGAACCGTGACCTAATGACCGACAGTTGATGCTAAACTAAAAACCAGAATCTCTGTTTGCTTTCTTTATGGTAAAGATGCACTAATAAATACTGTTGCCTGACAGGAACCGTTTGCTGTTGTACATGGTAATGCAGTTGCCCATTAGTTCTTGTTTGCAACTACACATTTTCACACTTAAAAATGTAATATACATTAAATGTAATAGCTGTGCTCAGTGTCAGGTTGTAATGTAAACAATCAACAGGTCTTTTCATAGAACACATTTTGACATGTTACCGTAGAACACAGGTGTGAGTAATACAATGAAAGGCTGAACCCATTTGGCTGCTCAGCTTTCAAGGCCCTGGCATGCCACACTGTGGTGATCCTAATGATACCCTTCCAAAAGGCTTGTTAAGTCCACTAAGAAATTAAAATATGAAATGGAATTATGTTTTTGTTTTTTTTATAATAATAATAATAATCTCCCTCTCATTTTCATAACTTTTAATAGGCTCAGGCTAAAATCAAGGCCAAGTCCTATGAGTTCCGGGGAGACGCAGTCCGAGGAATGCACATCACCTACCCAACCCCAGAGCCGGTCGTCACTCCCAGGGCCAGAGAGGGCCTGAGAGCAGTTGTTCCCACCATCTTCCCACCCAGCACGGTCAACCGGGGAGAAAGCATGCGCATCCATCCACCAGAGCTGAGCACTCGCGAGTACCAGCAGCCCTCCCTTCAGATAAGTGGTCCAGGCGAACTCATCCACCTTCCCAAAAAAAGAGGCCCTAAGCCTAAACCCCGCTTCAAGGACGGTAGCTGCAGCCCTGCGATCTTTGAACCCCACAAGAGGAGAGCTGAGGAGCAGGGTAGCCACGTCCCGCATAAACTGACTAAACTCCAGGGGGGCCAAGAGATGAGGCTGATCAAAGTGGCCCACAGACATCCAGAAATACACAGCCATAAACGCCACCATCACCACCATCATCATCATCACCACTCTAACAACCGGGGGCTTTCCGGGGGAAGCTCCTTCAACCAGCTCTACTCAGAGCGCAGCCTGCACCCCCACAGAACAGACTCGCACAGGACTAAGGACAGCTCCAGCCACCTGGCTCCTGTAACCTTCAAGCACCAGTCCAGAATGAGCCCGAGCCTGGGCCGCCCCGTGGAGCCTCCCCAGATGGAGAAGCCTTACTTCATGGACAGGCCGTCCCCAACCAGACTCGACTTGGACGTGGACTTGGATGAAGTGACGTGGAGGCCCTCCGTTGGCAACGTGGAGAAGGTCATGGTGACGGATGTGACTACCAACTTCCTGACCGTCACCATCAAGGAGAGCAGCACTACGAAAGGCTTCTTCAAAGACAAAAGATGATGGATTTGTTCCACGCTTTGTTTAGCATCAGAATCCTCCTGAAGGTCCTATGACATAGTGTGAATATTATGCAACGCCCTTTTTGTATGTATTGTAAAAAAGCTAATTACTTAATGTGCATATGTGTATATATTACAAATTTGAAGATCTGTTTTTTGAATTGACCAAATCAAATGAAGTCTATTTCACATCTTGCATTGGTTAACATGAATGAGTTGAGTGTTGCCTTTGCAGCTGGCTACTTATGTACAGAGCTTCTGAATGTCACTATTTTTAATTGTTAGTAACTAGAATGTATTTGTTTGATTCTCAAACGTTCAAGCAAATATGATCATTGAGCCAAGGCTTAGATAATAAATTCAGTCTGTGGATTGAATATTTCTCTGTAATTTGAACCGATTTGACTGAAAAAAACCCCCTATTAAATTCAATGGGGTTCATATTTAAAATGTACTCAAGCACTTTTAATTCAAAAGTATTTAGATTTATCCGTTTGTGTTGTATTCAAAGACTACTGTCTCTAACATTTCTAATTGTATGGTTAACAAATAAAAGTGTTAAACAACCTTTTCCATTAACCTGGTAGGCTATGCCTATATTTTACATTTTCATAGAAAACGTTCATAAAGATTTATTGTAAGAAGATAATTTCACACTTTTTAGTCGCTTTACAATAAATACTTTGGATTTTCTCATTTCGTTGTGTTTTACTGTCAGACTTTTTATTACAACTCGTGCGCCTCGACGTGTTTTTTGTCAGATTTAAAGACAGCGCCTGAATTAATTAAAAGATGTATCAAAACCGTAACACAAGTAGGCCTTAAGCAACCATCAATCAATTTATATTAGAGGTCATTGGGAATTATATGAAAAACGAGTTATTTTAAATTCCTACAAGCTCATAAAGGCACCCGGTGCCGATGTAAAGGGCCTCAGGCTCCAAGGAAAACCTGAAGTATCCACTGCAGCAGCGGCCTGCTCATGGTTTGCAGAGAGCGAAACACAGAGCAGACCATAAACCCAGACCTTTATGAATATTTCATGTGAATGCCTCGAGCATCTCACGTCTGCGTTTACGCCACTTCAAATTGAAACTTTTGAATGAAATGAAAAAAATCCATAGATCCAAACTGCTATAGCCTAATATAAGCAAATGTGTATTCAATTTCAGAATTAGCGGCAATCTTAACCATTTATTTAATGTTTATTTATATTAATATGCCGCACACACCACCGCAGTTATGGCCTAAGCTGCTTTGCAGATGGGATTTTAAAATACATATTTTAGAGTTTTCTGAAACCTTCTGTTTTCTACAGGCCTCATGCAGCCATGTGGACCTGTACCTTTGACTGCTGCTCATTCATGACACATTAGGTCTAATTATAATGAGATAAACGAACCTCAGATGCCCGGGACTACACGCTCTCTTTGTGCGGAGGTGATAACCCCAAATAAATAGATCCGCCTGCTGTGATCTGGCCCCCGTTATAACATGCTAGGTACTGTATTTGAGAGACAGCATGACAAAATACGTGATACGTGACAAAAGTGAAACTGAGCTTCAGTTAGAAGCAGACACATGGTAGGATAAACAAACACGTTTATGTTTCTCGCTGCCAAATAAAACATCATTCGCTCCTCGAGACGAGAAACTCCCTTCTGTCACTGACTAATACGCGGAGCCATATATGCCCGCAACAAGGGTAATATAGGCCTATAAATATTTAACAAGAGTAGGCTTTAACGTAAAGTTAGTAGCCTTCCAAATTACCACTATTAATAAATAAATAATAATAATTAAGGAATAATAACACAACCATTGTAACCCATTGTTGTTGCATGCATTTTAATATTTGTGATGGTATTACAACATTCCATTCTGATGATACATGGATACCTTTTTAATTCAACACTACAGTACACTACACAGCTGTATTACACTATGATTACATAAATGACCATGTATTCTTTACATGATCATATTTCAGGAAAGATAGAGTGAGAGAACATATTTTTCATTGTCATCTTGTCCAAGTTGTCACCTCTGGTCCTTTTCTGTTTATGGAGAAAGATAAAGAACAGTTATGGTGGAGAGTTGCATTCAAACTCTGAAAAATATGCATATCAAACAGAAACGTTTATTTTTCTTTGTAAACAGAAAGCTTAAAAATGTTTTCCTCTGTTCCAAACCACACACATGTTATTGTTTTACTGTAGACGTCTGTTAGCAATGAAAGCCTACAGTTTACTTCAAGCAAGTATGAAATGATTAAAACAACTAACTGAATGATAACATGATATGCTGTAAGCCTGACTGGGTTTTCTGAGGTTTCCTGCTGTGTGATAAATGACAAAACAACAGGATATGAAATAAAACACCAGCAGCAAGGAATCAGTCAGATACAAAACAGGGAAAGGCAATACAGATATTATGTTGAACATGATTTTAAGGACTTTTACTCCGACCAAGAGGCAAGATGTGCTTATTTGAACTTGGAAATATCAAAAAAGTCATATTATTTGACATGGCATCTGTACTTATTTGTGTCTGTGTTAAATCTGAGTGAAATACAACTGATGGTTGCTGTGTATGTGCACGGTGTTGCATTGTGTAGCCATCATCACCGTGATCAGACGGGGTGTCCATAGTTCCTGTCACAGCGGGGGGAGCAGTGAGGGTTCAGCCAGTTCTCCATACTGGTCTCCTGGGCCCGCTGATCCAGAGCCTGCATGTGGAGCAGATGCTCCTGGGGGGGGGGTTAACAAGGTGGTTAGGGGTGGAGGTACCAGCAGATGAGAAGCATGAAGAACTGTTGATCTGAACATTTGCATAAATGAAACTGAACGTTCAAAGGGGGAATCAGTGCTGACTCAGAACTTTGTATTCCTCTGCTTTTGTTTCTGCACCACAGCAGAGCAGCACAATCACAGCACAACAGAGAGAGTGAAATGACAGAGATGAGGGAAGCTTAACATGCAGGGAACTTGTACAATGATGAATGGATGCATTCAAAGCATTACAATGCACAAACGCATGGAGAGAGATTCCTTTATAGATCATGGTGAAAGGAGTAGTTACATTTCTCATAACATTACGTATTAAAAGCAAAAGTACTCAATAGACAAATCCTTACATTTGGGATACTGGAAACAATATTTTTGTTTTCAAATGAAAAAAAAGTCAGAAACTATCAAAATAGTACATTTACTCCCAGATGTTAATAACGAAAAAAGAGTGGTGTGAAAAGAATTAACTCAAGTAAACAAGTACCTCAAGTTTGAACTGATACTTGAGTAAATGTACTTAGTTACATTCCACTATGCTGCTATGCCTTATAGCAGGTTTAGATACTATTGCATGAAGACAGATGTGTAATATATATATTCAAAAACACACTTTTGAAATAGATACATTAAGTGTTGGGGGTAGTGACAGATGGCATCAGTTGAAATAAATCCTACAGTAGAATACAGTATGTAAAGATTATGTTATTTTCCCCACAAAATAAATCAGATTGTTATGACGTGTATTCATTCATAAATGGTGCTAAGATATGAGTGTGGTTTAGGCAGGTGGTAGGAACTCAAAACTGACGTCACTCTTTGTGGGGTGTTTGCTAAATTGGTCACCTGTGTAGGAGATATCAGTGACAGTATACACCTTTTAAATAACCCTCACTACCCTGGATGTAATGACCCCCGAAGGTTGGCAATAATGCAATATGTGTGATGCAAGCTGCCGTTAAACACAAGAGAAGAAGAGATATCAGAGGACTTTTTGGGGACTGAATTAGTGGCCACGAGGAAGACGGCGGGGGCAAGTTGTCTCCCACCACCAACAATATACACACTTTAACCAAACAACTATTCTCTGTTTGGAATCAGGTGTGTGCAATTAAGATCAAGCAGCACTTCTTCAGTATCAAGCAAAAGAAGAGTTTGAGAGAAAAAAAAGTATTCTCAAAAGTAAAACTATAACTTGCAACAAAATAATTTGTGTAATCATGTAAGCTATTGGTCGTTTCCTTTTTTGTGACATATCTTTGTTTGCAGGTTCCTTTGTTTGAGGGAGAAGGGGAAATAGGGTATGGTATATTTCAAGCTTTTTATGCAAGTAAGTTATTGGGCTTTTTTTTATCAACTAAGATTAGTTAGAACACATTTTCAACTTTAATTAATTGCATTTACTTGAACATTGGGCTTGTTAACACATGAATACTGGGTAATGTATTTGTACATGTATATTTAAGAAGTACAATATAAAACAAGCACAAGTTTCATGTGTGGGTCATATTCCATTACACTTTTAGAATTTGCTGCGGGCCAATTAAAAATGGAGTACAGGCCGCAGTTGGCACCCGGGCCGTAGTTTGGACACCTAACGCATGAGGCAGGGAAAGGCCCTGGTTAGGGCCTTCCTGGCCTTTCAACATTCACCGCGAGCCTGACTATATTTACTCTGATACTTGGAAGTTATCACCCAAGTTAAAAAACAAAAACAATTTATGAAATGATGTGTTTTTGAAAGATATAAGAATGTAACCCCCTAATAAATGGGTTATAATACACGTTCATTATTAGAAGATCTAAGGTTTTACATTTTGTTTCACTCCCATGAAGCATCCCAACACATAATGAATGCTCAATGATATGAATGATGTCGTTTCAACTAAATATGATATTTCTCATGAGATTGGAATACAATTTATAAAGCTATGATTATTATGACATAACACTATGATCAGTGGCGGTTCTAGACCAATTTGACTGGGGGGGCCAGGCTGGGGCCAGTTATTTTCTGAGGGGGGGCACAATAAATGCAGGACGAAAAAGACAAAGACAGAATGAAGTAATTGCGCATAAGAAAACAATGCAATACAGTTATTGGTATTTGTTTCAGTACACATATTTATTTCAGATACCTATAGTTACAGTTTTTACGCTCTAATGCAGGGGTCTCCAACCTTTTTTAGGATGAGAGCTACTTTCAAAAAATAAAACAAGTCGTGAGCTACTTTTACTCCTCTTTCTTTTGTTTTTTGCTGTGTATATATTTAACACATTTTAACATTATGATAAGCTTACCATAACCTTTGTGTGCTCTTTGGGTCTGTGGAACCCGTTTTCAGTGTTAACTAAAAGAACATGTATGCAATTTTAACCTGCTTTATTTGGGGGGTGGACCTCACATCCTCTAGGAGGGTCCGGGGGCATGCTCCCCCAGGAAGATTTTTTTTTTTTTTAAATGTTGAAGTGAAATGCATCAATCTGGTGCACTTTGAGCACAAAATGAATTTTTGGATACAGCTGTCTCAACACTCATATGAAAGAGAGATTTATACTTTTCAATAATCCAAACATCTTTAGAATATGATCACAACCAATAACAAATCATTTAAACTTGTTTATTCTTATCTTATGTTACCTAGTTAGCATTCTTTCTTTTTATTTATGCATATTTCACTAATCACTCCCCTTGTAAACTGTTTTTTTTTTGTCCTCTGTGGAGGACATTTGGTTTTGGTCCATAACTATGAGGTTATACATGTCATGCCACAGCATTA